CATTCTGAGATGGTCTCTTGTTTCTAAGAGGAAACTTCATGGGGCATTCTGAATTTGGTACTAATTCTTTAAAAATAAATTTGAGCCTGGTGAAAGTGTTACAAAAGGTGGAAATCCTCTTTCTCCTCTTGGTGAAGATTTCACAGTAGAATTTTTCTCTGTCAATGCATAAATGATTTTCTTAAATGGGAAATGTGCTTTGCACTGTTCTGGGAATCACATAAGGAAAGAAGGCAAGTAACCCATAAACTCTGAATGTTTGAGAATGTTCAGCTTTATGCACTTTCCAAGGGCAAAGGGAAGAAGATGATTTTGAATCCTTAGAAAAACTAGACTTGTTTATGGAAACGAGAAATACCAGGTTCAGAGAATTTTATTCATCAAAGACAGACTCATTATCTGAAAACACCAAATGTTATGCCAATGTTTCTAACTACTTTTTCATATCTAACAAACCTTCTGTCATTTGGAGACAGATGCTGACTCAGAAAACTTTATTTTATGTCTAAGGACAAGAAGATCAGAAAAAAAAAAAATTGCATGAACAGGAAGGGATAAAAAGGTCTTTTTTCCCCCTTACATCAACAAAACTAATTTATTAAATTATTACTGTTTTATAAAGTAAAACAAATAATTGCAAGTTCTTTGTTGAACATCTAATGAGTAAAAATAATAATAGCCAGGCAATTTCTCACATTCTCAAGTCATTTTGTTGTTATTGATTCAGCTGTACGAAGAGAGAAAAAAATCATACGTGGAAAAAAACCATCTGTGTTGTTTTATTGTCTCAATGCCCTCATATATGTCATAGAAGGATGTGAGGTGAAAGGAGCACGTGAGGTGTGTAAATATAACATCCAAGGAGACTCTACAACACTGGAACCCGTATGAACTAGCAGTTTGTCAATATCCTCAGGTCTCCAGTGAGCAGCAAGAATGGCTCTCAGGATATTGCAACTCTGTCTGCTTCCACCAGAGATCATAATTGGGCTATGAATTTTTATAACAGAAAAGTCTTCCTGACGTAGACAGAGACTGACAAAAAGTTTAGTTAATGCCAAAAAAATCTCAGGACAGTGTGAACAGCGTACATAGATATCACTGAAACATGTAGTGCTTTCTTTCTGGTTTCTTTTTCACTTTTAAAACAAACATCTGATAGAGTTTACTGACTAAAGCTTTGGATAGGTAGCTTGTTTCCAAGTATTGCTCACTGTACTGGTTTTCTGCCCAAGGACAGGATGTGTACTTTGGGGAATTTGAGAAGCCGATTGAGGTGAGAAGAGGTGATTTATAAATCGAAACCAAATGATAGCAGAAGGTGTGAACTAGAGCTGTTTCTTCATCTGCAAAGAGCTAATTGGGCAGATTTCAGGCCAGGTCTCTGAAGGCGCAGCTCCTGAACCCTGTCTTCCTGATGCTGCGCTCATTATAGATTCTCAATGTAGGACTGGTTAATGACAGGGAAATCCCTACCAAGGTGGCCTTTACATGACACTGCAGATTTACCTCAAAAAAAAAAAAAAAAAAAAAAAAGAGAAGGAAAAAGTGAGTGACAGATTCCAGGCCACTGGCCTCATATAGAGTCCCCTTTGTCTTACCACCTAATTTATCTAAAATTGAAGTGCTTTGTCTCTAAAGGCTACCCTGCTTCACAAAATTTCAAGGGGCTTTTTTTTTTTCTCTGACATATCAGAGTTTAACCTGACCTTATTTGTTACATGGTTGTTGTTAGAGAGTAAATTTTGTTTTTTGTTGCTATGTCTACAATTTGATACAGAAGATTGAATACAGCACCTATGACCTGTATCTGTCTGGAACAATCTATGTTTGCCATGGATGCTGAAATATTTTAATGGTAACCTTGAATTGGTTCAGTCTTTACCTAAATTTCATAATCTATCCTTAATTATTCACCTTAGTATTTCTAGGTAAAACAAGACGTATTGCATTCACATCTTACTTTTAAGGCATCAGATATCAAGGAAAGAAAGACATTGTAGATGGTCACTATACTGTATGTGAGAAGGTTTTTAAGACTTCACAAACACAAAAAAAATACATTGAGGAAGCAGCACTGAAAGTTATGTCTACATTGGAACAGGAAACTGGAATGTGTGGTAATTCAGTTTTCAAAAGGAAGTGGTGGAGCTGAATCCTTACAAGACAGTTTGAATAAAATGGTCACATGTTTCAAGACCTTTCTAACCCTAAATAGAGAGAATTTCACTAGGCAATCTAAAACCTTTTTTTCAGTTGTAAAAATCTGATTCCATTCCATGAGAACTATAGAAAAACTGCCTTTTCCATTATTTTATGAAATATAAGGTTGCCAATGAGTTAGCTACTCAAATATACTCTAAATCTATAAACTTCTATAAAACTGTCTTTAAATAGAATTTTTCATTTTTAGAAATACCTTGTAAATTAATTTTTAATTTTAGTTTTCTGAATCTTAAAAATATATACAAGATAAAATCATTACTATGCACTTGTGTATAATGAGAGAGCATGGGGGAAATTTGGTGGATGTTAAGGATCCTTTGTGAGATAATTAACTCATCTACTGATTTTTTGTATTTTCCTAAGCACTTAAATTGACTGTCTGAGTAAGTTTTAAGCATATACAAATAATTTATTATTCAGAGGATAGTCTTTTGGCTTATAAAATCAATATACAATCATAGAAATTTAGAGATAGAAGTGATCTTAATGGTCATGTAGTCTAAACATTTTAATTTTAACAGGTAAGAAAGTGGAGACAAGAGATAAATGACTTTGCTGTGGCCCTTAGTTCCATGCCCAAAGGAGCAACAGTAGCCATCTTCTAACACCTAGTCTTGTATAAGTGTTTCTTGTATTCTCTGAATGAGGGCCGAATTCATGTGAGTAGTTTTAAAATCTTGTAGACATTTAATTGCAAAGTGGTGTCTTTGTTTTCTCTTTAATAATACCAAATTCAACAACCATATAAAATATAACTGCAAACATTTTCACTTGAAGTGTAAGTATTCCTATATTTTTCTTGGAAATTTTGGATTTTTTTTCCTAAATAAGAAATTAAGTTGGAAAGAAAGTTGAAAAATCTAACATTGTAATTTAAGTGTATCAAAAAAACCCCAGAATATTTAAATTGGAAAAAAATCAGTTTATTATCTGATTACATTTTAATTAGTGCCCTTAACCTAAATCTCAAGAGCTAAAAATTAATGTTCTTAGCTTGAACACGTAACAACTCACTCAAAAGATGAAGACTCAGAAAAGCCTTCTTTAAAAAACATTCTCTCTGTGTCTCTCTTTCACTCACACACACAAACACACACACACACACACACTGCAAGTGACACATCTAACAACTTATGTCTTGATTTGTAACCAAAGTAATTTTATACTGAATACTGAAAATGGATGAAAGTTCAATCACTGAATTGAATCAAATAAGTAATCTTAAATAGAATAAGGATAATTCCCTCTAGTATGTACTTGTCCTGTTTGACTGAAATAACCATCATAAACTAAATGTCTTTAAGTCAAACAGATTGTCCAAAATTAAAAATGATGACTATGCCAAAATAACCAATGAAGAACAAAATGTAAAGATGAAAACATTTTCTAATAACACATTTCCTTTCCTCCCTCCCTGTCCCTCAAATTTCTTGTGAAATCTTTATAGTCAGGTTTACTGGATAAACTGCCAAATAGCTATTTTACCAGGGCCTTGTTATTTTTTTTTTTTAATTTTTGCTTGATATCTTTAGAACTAGCAAAGTTATTTCTATCTAGTAGTCACAATATGGCCTGGAGTACACATTTTTGAAAAGTAAGTTCTCCCCTTTATGGAGATTAGATTTCCTACTGGTGATCACTGATGTATTTATTTTTAAAAAGTGTATTTTGATGGAGTTATTGATACAGTTAATGTTTACCACAATCATGATAATTCGTGTTTTAGGAATTGACAAGGCTGCAGCACCACCTTTACCATTCTACAATAGCCCTGTCAGCTGTCAGGTTAGTTCTTGCACTGAATAACTTAGACAAGAAGAGAATCAATCCTTAGATAAGGATACCTAACTCCAGGCTATCCTGCACCACTCTCCATATTCTCAGTTCTTTGCTCTGGGACTGCATCACAACACTTGGGTTGAATTCAACAACATCTGGACTCCTTCCTGACTTTTCTCCACTGAGCAATCTCCAGAAGCCTGTAGCTGAGACTGAAGGGCTGCTTATGTTCCATCTGCCTACTGCATATCCTTCCTAGTACCCAAGGGAAAGCCTTGGAGGAACCATGTCCTACTGGGTCAGGATGACATTAGTGAACTTTGTCTATTGTACTCACAGATATTTCACTTCCAAAGAGCTATGCTGACTCTTTGATTTATATTCTTGCTCCAGGCTCCCAGATGCTATGCTATGAAGTTAGTTCCCTTCAGTCAGGGGTTTTGGTAGGGTTGGCTTCTTACTCTCTTTCCCTGGTCTCTTTCCTCAGCCTTTAAAGTATGTTTGGCACATGGTAGATGCCCAATAAACATACTTTGGGAGAAGGTTATGTTGATCTGAAGAACTTAAAATCTAAAGGGTTTTCTACATGTTTCCAGGATTTTTTTTTCTTCTTCTAAGTATCAGGTTATCATTAAGGACAATTTTAGCCAATCTTTAGGAATTTCACTGGCATTAACTAGGCAGCTAGCCATCTGGGAAATCCAGGAGAGAGGCTAAAGAATGTCCACTGCCCCAAATCAGGAGGGGCGGGAGCTCAGGTCTTGATCTGGGACCACCCTCCTAGATCCTGACAGGTGTTGCACGCTACCAGTGGGGCTCCAAGCCCCTGTCTCCGGTTGCCCCCTGCCTTCTAGGAGCACCAGAGCATGCCCAGTGGCAGCTCTGGAGCCACCAAGGGCTTTGCACGGGCTCACTCCGCTTCTCCGGGTTTTAGTAGGAACCCGCGGGGTGGGGGGGCGGAGGGGCTAGGGGAGCCCGCAGAGCCTGGCAGCCTCGGCTGCACGAGTGGGGAGCTCGCGCGCCGCACAGGGCTTTCTCCCGCGTTGCGGTTGCTCGGGAGATGCTGGAGCGCAGCGCTGGGCTGCTCCACCTGGCGCGCTGAGCCAGGCGCTGGGGGCCCCCAAGGGCGGGCTGCTTTGCGGGAGGGGGAAGCGGACTGCGGTAGAATGCCAGACGGGCTCCTCCGGCGCTGCGAGACATCGCTCCAGCGCGGTCAGGTGCTGGAAGCCAGCCGCTCGCCGCTCCACTAACTTGCCACTTGGTAGTGTCTGGTCTCTACGCTTTCCGGTGGTGGGGGGCGGGGGGAGTGGGGAGTTAGAGGGTCTGCGGTAGCCGAAAGAGGGATCCTGCAAGGGGAAGCCTGCCTGCTGCCGCTCTTCTCCCCCTCCCCATCACTCCCCTCCCCCCAACCCCATCGCTGCCGCTTTCCCTTCCGCCAATTCGGAGAGCGACGGGCGCCTGTGACATGCGATCGCTGCCAAGTGACGGTCCCTGAGTGTGAAGTGCCCGCAAGGAAGTGAGCTCCAAAGCGGGCCGCCGGCGATGACAGCCATGAAGCAGGAGCAGCAGCCCACCCCGGGGGCGAGGACAAGCCAGGCGCAGCCGGTGGACCAGGTGAGAGTTGGCAGCTGGGACCAGGCCCTCCCAGGAGGGGTGGCTTCAGTCCGCTCTCCCCCCTCCTCTCCTCCACGGCTTGGCTCCCACGCCTCCCTCTCCCCACCCTCCCCCCGCCCCAGTTCCAGGCTCTCCTTTGCTCATCCATGGACTCAGCAGGAAGTTAGCGCTTCTGAGTGCGCTTTGGGGCCCGGCGAGAGGATGCGCAAGGTGGAGAGCCGCGGGGAAGGGGGAAGAGAGGTAAAGGCTGGGGGTGCCCTGGGGATCCTCTGCGGGCGGTCCACCATGGGAGGGAGAGGTGGACCGGTCCATTGGAATCAGGATTCTTGGCTTCTATTAACACACGCTGAATGAATCTGCTGCGCTCCGGGAGAAGACCACTTGCAGGGTTCGAGCCCTGTCTTGCTGTAGCCCAAAACGCGCACTGGTCAAAGCGACCCAAGTAGCAAATGACCTTTAGGCCGACAGAGTTTTTTCTTTCCTTTGTATATTCTTTTGAAAAGACAGCGACTGGGGTCGTGGGGGGAGACTGGATGGGAGAAGAGGGTGTACCCAGCATCTGTAGTCTGCTGAGTAGAACCGGGCTTGGGGACCAGAAAGGCATGATTTCTTGGGTCCAGACGTGTTGTGTCTGCAGAGATGAGGTGCCTTGTGTTGGCTGAGGGTTATTTCTGTCCCTTTTCCGTCCCTCCACACCCACCACCCCTTTTTGTTTCGATTTTAGGGATCTGAACCATAAGAGTATGGTGGATCCCCATCTCGTCTCTTTTCCTGAATTGGGGGCGATTCAGGAGTTCAGTGACGCTTTTTCCCAAAGTTGGAAGGTCTGGAGCGCTGAGATGCTTTGGCTAGGAGAGGGGAGGCTATGATGAGCCCACTGAAGGTGCGGTCACGTTAACATCAATTAGAATTGGACAGAGAAAGCCGCGCTTAGGTCAGCGCAGAACTAAGGAGCTGGAGGACCCAGGCAGGCATTGGAGTACCGGAGACAGGGCTCTTTGCCCGGAGCGCACTGTCAAGGGCTGCTGGAGGCGTTCCCGGCAGAGACACTCCCAGTTCATCACCAGAAGTGGGGTGCCAGGGGGTGCAAACAGCTAGACTTCAGCAGCAGCTGGGTTCTTGGTGTATTCTAAGCACTGAAGAGCATGTTAAGGGAGCTGTCCAAATCGCCCAGGAGTGGCGGCAAGGCAAAGGAAGCAATGCCAGGAATGCTGTTATTAATATTCCAGTCTTGGTCATCTCTCCTGGCTTGTGGTCTCTTTTCTCCTCTTTCCTCCCCTTCTCATTTCCCTCACATATGTTTCACACAGGTGGTGGAGATTATTCAATGCCTTAAAGATCCCTCTCGGTTTATGTGGTTGAATGTTTCAGTTTTTACAAAGTGTTTATGTTCTTGAACGTTCTCTTTGCTCCATATCCTTAGATAAGTGTGAAAATATTAAAACATTGTATCATAATGTTTCTTCCTCTTACAGTCTCCCCCCCCCATCCTGGCACACATTATAATATAAAAACTGGTTAGCTGATGCATAAAAATAATTTCAGTAGAGGAGCATGGATCCTCTTTCAGGCTGACAGCCTTAAATTTCATTAACAAGCCACTGAGCCTCTCTACTGCTCTTGGAATGATGCTACCAATAAGAACGATTAGTCAGGTGAGAGTCCCCACATGAAATCTTTGCTCACTAACCTGTGACACCAGCTGGTTACTTGAGGTGCTGCAAACAGTTCAGTGATGGAGGTGGGGAGGAAGAGGCAAAGCAGAGCACACAGAAGCTGTGAATGTATATGTAAATAGTGGACACGTTGTGTATGCACAGGAAATCCTTTTGTCACTACTAATCTGTTACTTAGAATTCACAGGATGAGATAGGTTCAAGCTTGAATCCATTTTCCTTGTTAGTATGCACATTTTTATGGCCACTTCAAATATTCAGGGAGTGGCCATCTGCATAAATCCTGTTTTAATTGAGCATTTTAAAGTGATTTTTTCTGAGTGTCTACATGATTTCAATATGTCAGTGGTATGCATTTTAAATTTGTTAAAATTCAAGAGATAGATTTTGCCAAGGAAAGAAAGTCCGACAAAAATATACATAGCAGTATCCCTGTGAGACTTTTTTCAAAATTCCTAGGAAATTGTTATGTCTAGGATATTCTTTTGTCCAAAGATTGACATGTGAAATGATCATCATATAATGTAGATGTTTTCTGTGAATACTTAAACCACTTTTTATTAGGCTCACTAAGATTTTATGAACAGAATTAGTCATTATGGTTTAATTCTGCAATTGCCACACAACTTTCATGCATTACTAGATACAATCCCTCTCCAAAAACATGATTAATTTTGCTAGCTTCTATGATAATTAAAAAGAATATTCACAAAGTTAATTTAAGATGTACCTTTATGAAATTGTACCTAGTGGTTAAACAGGGGGCGTGCTTCAGCTAATCATTCACTATGTATTGATTTGGAATGATTTAAACTTTTGAATGTTGCCAAAAAAGTCTTTCAGTTTCCATGATAGAGATTTTTATAAACCTCAAAAAATGCCTTGCCTGGAGGCCATCAAATACCATTTAGCACAATGGAAATCCATAGTATTTTTTAAGCAAAAATGATTATGAGTCATATAATTTGCTTACTGTTATACTTCTACAGGAGGTTTGGCCTCCTGTTTCATCTTATCTGTTCCCTCTATCACAGGGTACCATGATCAGAGACTCCTGTACCCAGAAATCTGTCTGGTTTTTAAATATTCTCTTAATATTCTGAACTACTAAATATTCTCTTAACATTCTGAACTATTAAATGTTCTCTTAATATTCTGAACTATTAGAAAGAATTTTATCATGTTAGTAATCTTTCTCTTAGAGTTTCATTGATTAAACAAATGGTTACAACAGTTATTTTCATGGTTTTTATAATATTCTACTTTTATTAAATATCTAAAAATAAATGCTTTGACATAGGCAGATGCAGTCATTTCCACTTAACACAATCAATACCTCACTTTACACTGAGGAATCCAAAAATCTTAAATGACTAGTTGTAATTTATTATTTGAAAACAATCACCTCCTGAACGTTTGTCATGCGTAGACTACTGTTCTTGGGGTTGGATAAGAAAACATTTATTGAATGCAATTTTCTTTTTGAGTCTCAGATCAACTTTTTGAGGCACAGCCTGTTGCTATTTCCATTATAAAAATAAGAATAGAGAAGATTATAGAAATCAAGAAGTTTGACCAAACTTATCTTCAGAAGTGATGGAGGTCATGGAATTAGACTTAAGAGTTCCTTTAAGTCTGAAGCCTCATCTCCTATTTTCTGCACAATCACCGACTAACATATTCCTATTATAGGAAGAGAGACTATTTGCACAATTTGAAAATTGTACATGAGTGTGTGTGTGTGCCCATTACCTTCAATGGAAAATGGATAAAGAATTTGTTTAAATCTTCAACTGTAAGTGTAAATGATAGCTTTTGAAAATTTAGTCAAGTACTTTATTAATTTTAAAGTTAATATCTCCTCTATTGATCCAAACAATAAAAAAATGAACTATATTGATTCTCATAAGCATCTAGGAAGTTTTTAGAAAAATTTTTTAGTCTTTGTGTCACTTGCCTCTGGAGATGATGAGATTCTCAAGGTTTGTTAATTGAATACATTTTTTTTTTTTTTTTTTAGTCAGGAGAGTAACTTTAGAATTTACTCATATTTCCACCAGGTGGCAGCCTTCTGCTGAATCCAATGGGGAAAAATATTGCCTAAAATACTTGGCTTGTCATCTCAGCTCCAAAAACAAAACGAAAACAAAACAATACACCCCATACACAGAAATAAAAAAAAAAAAACAAACAAACAAGATGGAAGGAGCCCTATTTTCTAAAATATTTAAATATTTTTAAAGAAATGGTTTGCCTCCAAAGGTAGCATTGGTTATGCTTTTTCTTTCTTTCTTTTTTTTAAATCATTTTGGCAGAAAACCAATCTCTTACAATTCAGCATGTGGCAGCCTCTTCATGATTTAACCTATGGTCAGAACTGTGATAACATATAATGGGTAAAACGCCTTCTGGAAAATATCCCTTGTACTGTTGACTCTTAAATATTATGAATCAAAAATGTTTCAATGTAGAAACTGGTATTCAGTGTTTTTACTTTAGCTTTGGTCAACCGGACCAGATTCAAATTTTAAAATGTATGCTTGAAAAAACAATTGCAGAAAGTTTATTCTTCTGTGTTCACTTGCTAATATGTAAACATGTCATAATTTAGTCAATAAGCTATTATTTTTCACATGGAACCTTGAGAATAAGTTTTATAATTCATCTGAAAAAGCTATTTGATAGAAGATTTATAACTTTTCTTCTAATCTTTCAATATTTAAAATGTAAGTATCTAATGGGGATACAGATTTATATATTTTGTTAGAAATATAATTTCAGTTGAATAATATCTTATTTTATACTTTTTAGATAACATGATATTAACTATGTAATATAGTATATAATATATAATATAAATATTTTTATGAAAAAAATTTATTTAATGAGTTAAGAACATACCACAAAATATTGCTTGTTGGGAAATATCTAATATGTATAAATATATCTATTCTTAATTTCAGGGACTGAACAAACTGCACATTTAAAAAAGATTAAGTTATATAAAAACAAGTTAAAGAAAATTGTGTTATTAAATATTAATGCTGCTTTATCTTATGAAGCATATTTCCTTGAAAATGAAACATTCAAACTAAAATTCTCCCTGTCTGGTAAAAAAAGTAAAGCTGTTTGAAAATTTCAGCTTCTTGGATGATTTATGATTATAGAGTGTTTGAAGTTATAGTAGGTATAAGCATATTTAATTTATTTACAGTGCATAGAGTGCTAGAATGTGTTTTATACCATCAACCACAAATGTTTATTTAACATTAACTATGAGTTACGCACTGGAATTCACAGATCCAAGTTCATATACATTCCAGC